CTTCTGGCTTTTTTCTTTTTGCTTATGTGGTGCTGAGGAATCGAACCCAGGGCCTCATGCATGCAAGGCAAGTGCCCTACCACTGAGCCACCTTCCCAGCCCTCTGACATGTATTGATCGATTATTTATTTAGAGTGATTTGGGAGATCAAAGGCACTAAGCCATAAACCTCAGCTCCAAACTCTTATTTTTGTTTTGTTTTGTTTTGTTTTTGTGCCAGTCCTGGGGCTTGAACTCAGGGCCTGGGCACTGTTCTTTAACTTTCTTCCTTCAAGGCTGGCACTCTAACATTTGAACCACAGCTCCCCTTCTGCCTTTTTGGTGACTACTTGGAGATAAGAATCTCAAGGGCTCTTCCGCCCTGGGTTGGCTTCAAACTGAGATCCTCAGATCTCAGCTTCCTGAGTAGGTAGGATTCCAGTGTGAATTCCACGGGTGCCCAGCCTCAGAATTTTTTTTTTCTTTTGGAACTCTAGGCCTGGGCCCTGTCCCTCAGCTCTTCAGCTCAAAGCTAGTGCTCTACCACTTGAGCCACAGCACAACTTCCGGCTTTTTCTGCTTATGTGGTGCTGAGGAATCAAACCTAGGGCCTCATGCATGTGAGGCAAGCATTCTACCACTGAGCCACCTTCCCAGCCCCAGAAATGTATTTTAAAGAATACTCTTTTAAACTTGTGGGTGGGGAAAGGAGGAGAAAACTGGGAGAGGGAGGGAAGGGGTGACATTCTCCAAAAAGAAATGCACTGTTTACCTGATTTATGTAATAGCAACTTCTCTGTACATCACCTTTATAGTAACAATTAAAAATGTTTTAAAAGAATACTCTTAATTTTCTGCACAGCCACTGTTTCTTTTGCTTTCTTATTACTTTAATGTCTAGTACTTAGCATGTTGTTCAGCATAATTGTTCATATATATATATATATACAATTTTAAAATATTATTTCTAGTAGTTTCCCTCACCTATCTTTGATTTGTTTTACTATTTCTTGAACACACTAAGGCAAGGTATTATTATAGAAGTTGAAGAAGAAAATAATCATATTAAAAATACTTGGAAATATCAAGTCTGGGTGTTTATATCTTAGAGTCAAGAAGAGATTTCTATATAGAGCCTGATGTAGTGATTTGAGATAGAGGTGTGACTTGAAAGCATCTAAATACTTCAGGTGTGAGGTATTGGTGATTGGGAAAATAGCCAGCAAAGTAGAAATGGATTGGTCATGGCACAGAAAAGCCAGAAACTATTCTGAACCTAGCTGAGTGTAGAGAAGTAGCTGTTGAGCCATGACAAGGTGAAGGACACTGGTCAACCTTGACGAGTACAGTGTGATGTAGAGGAAAGAAAGTGAAATGGGAGTATATTGAGGGGCGAGTCAGATGAGGAAGTGGAGGAGGTGCAACATTTTCAGTTGTTATTGACATTACAGCATAGATATTTTCTGTCATCACAAGGTTATCATTGTGAGTATTTTAGTGGCTCCCTAGTATTTATGGATTATCTACTTATTTTTGTTTTTGTCAGTCATGGGGCTTGAACTCTGAGCCTGGTGCTGTCCCTCAGGTCTTCATCTCAAGGCTAGTGCTCTACCACTTGAGCCACAGTGCCACTTCCAGTTTCCTGAGTAGTTTATCGGAGATGAGTCTCATGGACTTTTCTGCTGGGGCTGGCTTTTAACCATGATTCTCAGGTCTCAGCCTCCTGAGTAGCTAGGATTACAGGCATGAGCCACCGGCACCTAGCTTTATTTAGTTTTGATAGTGATGTTAATAGGACAGTAAGGAGTAGAGGGGGGGAAAAAAAAGCTCAAAGAAACTAAAAGGAAACCACATTGTATGTTGAGCATTTACCTTTACATTACTATATTGTTACTTAACTCCAGTTGGTTGGACAACATCAACAGAACATGCAGCCAAGCTGCTGGAATCAGATTGTCTGGGATGGAGACCTGGCTCTGTCATTGATTAGGGGTGTAATGTGAGTATTACCCTTTCTTGTACATAGATGGAAGATGCTGAAAATACCTACCTCATTGGTTGTTGTGCAGAATAAATAAGCTGATGGATAAAAGGAGTTTAGAACAGTATCAGGCACCCAAACTGCACAAATTACTTAGCCTTTCTGAAACTCAATTCCTCCTATACAAAATGGAGGTGATAATAGAACCAATCTTTTTCTTTTTCTTTTTTTTTTTCTTTTATCATAGGGCTTGAACTCTGGGCCCGGGCCTGTCCCTCAGCTCTTCAACTCAAGGCTAGCACTCTACCACTTGAGCCACAGTGCCACTTACAGCTTTTTCTGCTTATGTGGTGCTAAGGAATCGAATCCAGGGCCTCATGCATGCAAGGCAAACACTCTACCACTGAGCCACCTTCCCAACCCTAGAACCAATCTTTTTGCTAGACAGGAACTTGATCAGCCAGACATGGAGAAGCCATACTTTAAGAGGTCAAATCGGAACTCTTCATTAGAAAGCCCATGACTGCAAGTGGACACATGTGCCAAAGAACCTGCAGCCCGAAATGCAGTTATTACAAAGTTTATAAAGGCAAAACCACAACAAGGCAGATGTCACATTGTATGGGGACTAGCAAAGCATGTTCCATTGAAGCAAGCTGTCTAGGGCCAACAATCAAGGACAACCAAGGGCAAATATTCTCTGGAGCAAAACTTTCCTGGAGTTAAACAACTCATGACACACCTGCAATTCAAAGACTATCACATCTATAGTGCTTAACAACCCATAAAATAGCTGCAGAACAAAGAAAGCCTTCAATCACCTCTAGAGTTCTCAGGACTGGGTAAAAATTCCCCATCATCTTTTAAGATGCCAAGATGGTAGGGAGGACAAGATGGCATTATTTAGACTCAGTATCCATAGTTCACTTTCAGATATTGTGATGATCCATAGATCATAATATTTGATGACAATATTCATGACCATCTATATAAATGACCATCTTTTCTGCGCTATCTGGCTAGCTGAAAAGCTTGTTAAGAGTAAGACATCATCATGGGCATTTTCAACTTTTTATTATCTGTATTGCTCTTGAACTTAACAGTTATTTAATAAATGTTTATTGAATTATCAAGCATATAATACTTGATTTAACCCTGACAAACCCCTGAACTGGATATGAGTTATACCACAGCGTTTTTAAGATCCCTTCCAAAGGTAAGTTTCTGAGGTCAATGGAATAGCCAAAGCTGCAATTAAAAACACAACTATTTTTATTAACATCTCCTTGATCCCACTTGTACCCTCTGTGCCAAGGCCTTGAATAGTCCATAATGTCCTTATTATATTTCTTTATTTCATTATAGTGCTGGATACTCTAGCTATTCCAGCCTGGGATAGTTATATAATAACTCCCTCAGCCTTTCCTTCTTAAACTTCCTTAGGAATTCCTGGAAGTTTTTACATGTTAATCTTCACTTCCTTATTACTTTCCACACTGCAATTTCAAGCCAAGGGTCAGGGGGAAACTCAGAGGTGGCAGGAGTCTGCTTGTAAAGTAGGTGCAATAGGACTGTAGACAGTTCGGTTTGCAGCCTTGTGTTAGATTATTCTACAAGAGGGAGGGTATACTTGTCTGGGTTTTGGTTGCTTGTTTGTTTGGTCGGTTGGTTTTGTTTTTAAATTTCTGAGACAGTGTCCTGCAAATGTAGTTCAGGTAGGCCTTAATTCGACCTGTAGCTCAAGCTGGCTTTGAACTCATGGTCTTTCTGCCTTAGTGTTGGAATTATAAGCCTCATTGGTTTTAAACATGCCTCTCATAGGTAGAAAAATTACCTGAAATAGTAATTGTTACATCTTTTTTCAAGAAGATGGTGCAGTTAAAAAAGTGTTAAAATATTTGTATCACTTGAAACACCCACATTTCTATCACTTGAAACACCCACATTCACATCCCACACACATACATACATGTACACACATGCATACCATAGCTTGCCTTCCTAACTTTGATTTTTCCATTTAATATTTCTGTCATGAATTTTTAGTTCTCCTTCCCCCCCCCCCCAGTACTTGGGATTAAATTCAGGGCCTCACACTTGCTGATAAAGGAGTCTATCAGCTGGGTGTCTGTGGCTCACGCCTGTAATACTAGCTACTCAGGAGGCTGAGATCTGAGGATCATGGTTCAAAGCCAGTTGGGGCAGGAAAGTTGGTGAGACTCTTATCTCCAATAAACCAATCAGAAAACTGGAAGTGGCACTGTGACTCAAGTGGTAGAACGCTAGCCTGGAGCTGAAGAGCTCGGAGACAGCACCCAGGCCCAGAGTTCAAGCTCCATGACCACAAAAAAAAAAAAAAGAAGTCTATTGACCTTTAATATTTGTATTTTGTTCTTGAGATAGGGTTACCCTAACTTCACCTAGATTGACCTTGAATCCTCCATCCTCCTACCTCACTACCCTAGTACCTGAGATTACAGGCATGAATGAAAATAAGATATGAATAAGATCAGCAGTTTGGGGCGGCTTAGTGGTAGAGTGCTTGCCTAGCATGCGTGAAACCCTGGGTTCAATTCCTCAGTATCACATAAACAGAAAAAAGCCAGAAGTGGCACTGTGGCTCAAGTGGTAGAATACTAGCCTTGAGCAAAAGAAGCTCAGGGACAGTGGGTAGGCCCTGAGTTCAAGCCCCAGGACTGGCAAAAAAGGAAAAGATCAATTTAGTTTGCTGAAGGACAAACCTTCTTATCTTCAACTCTTTCCTTTTCACTGTTTGAGAAATTCCCCAAATAGCCTGACCAAAAATAGCTGACCAAAAATTCAAAGGGAAGGACAATAAAAAAAATTCTGTGGAAGAGGACAGAGAATCTACACATCGATTTGGGATTATGTTTATAGTGAATTCCAGAGATAAACTGTGAGGCTCAACATATACTTTTGAAGATTTTTTCTTAAACACTGTATTTGAGAGATACACTGCTGTTTACTGTTTCTCTGATGAAGAGTAAAGCTCACTACAAAGTGACCAGAGCCCTTTGTGTGTAGATGTTTTCTGACACAAGACATACAGGGGAAATTTAACCACAGAATTGGGAGCTTCAATCCAGATTTCCTGACCCTCGATATAATACCCTTTCCACTATTATCAACTTTAATTCATGCTAGGTTAAAAAAAATGTGATGGTGGGTATTTGAAATCACAAAATTCTCATGACTTTTGAACTGGGTTTAGTTGGCCAAGCCATCATTTCATGCAAGCAACAGATTTTCTTTCCTCAAAGTTCTTTGAGTAGAACAACGTGGGAGGTAAAACTACCCTGATGACACACCCAAATCCTATAATCTGGCTGGGGATAAGTAGTATTAATAAGACCTTTTATTTACAAACGACTTGGAGCTTTTTAAACAATTGAGCACATACCATCTTCTCTGATCTTCCTGAGGGCTGTGTGAGGAAAGCAAGGTGGATTTGTTTTCCATCCTGTTATAGAGAAAGGAAAAAAAAATGGTTTCAGTAACATTAAGTGACTCAGCCAAGGTCACGTTCTTTTGCTTGGTATTGCCAGAATTCCTTGGCACTGCCATGTATCCTCCCAGATGATTAATAGCTGGCACTTTATCACCCATACAACATACGAGGCACTACTCCAAGTGTTTTGCATATAATAACTCATTTACTCTTCTTACTAGACGGATTCTATTATTATCCTCCTTTACTGATGGGAAAACAAAGCAATAGAGACTATGGGTACCTTGCCCAATGTTGGATAGCTTCACCACATAGTCAGAGCTAAGAACCAAACATTCAGACCACTCTCAGCTCTCAACCACTATCTACCTCTTCAATCAAGAGGATTTGGAAGTCATTTTATGAGTCAGGTCACTCAAAGGCACAATTCAAGAGTCTCTGAGATTAAGTTTAGATATCCTAATGCTCCTGTGACTGTCACTAGCCCTTCCTTTGATGTGGATGACTATTGGTCTTATTATCCACTCATGTGATAGAGACATGCTGTTGAAATTTGGCCATTAAATCATTTATTTGGGTAGGGTAGAAGAAGCATAGCACTAATGTTGACCAGTGTTCAATTCACTCTTTTGCTTGATTTCACTAATAATATGCACGATCACAATAGATATATGTTGTTGTTAACTAGTATGACTGTTTTTGGAAGCACTATCTTAATTCTTTCAGGAAATCCTCCTTTTGTTAGTATTCAATCTATGTAGTTTCAATTTCAACAAATGCTCTGTCTCCAGGCTTAGATGTATGCCCCAGATAGACAATGAGAATCTTACCTGCCTAGGGAGAAAAGTTGATCCATTCATGATCCATATCCATGATCCTGTGCAATGAAAGTGGTCCTTAAGACTTGTGCTTACAATATTGGGAAACAAACTCTCTTTCTACTTAGTGACTACTATAATCCTGTGTAAGCTCAAGGTTGTTGTAATGATAATCCTGTGTAAGCTCAAGAGCAACTTGCATGAGAATGAAGCTAAGACACATAAGGATAAAGACCAGAAGATTAAAACCAAGAAATGGAAAGAATCAAATCCCTCATAACAATATTTGACATCTAAATCTAGCTATGTCCGTCTTTGAACCATCCAAAACCAAAGCCACTACATCCCCTTAAGCAAATCTCACTAAGGTTTCCGCCACTTGAAACCTAGATTGATTTTTTTTTCCTGTTAATTACAAGCAGTGCTTATATACTAGAATATCTGCCTCCTCTAAAAACTCCTGGTATCAATTAACATTGTAAAAACACAGTAAAACTACAAAGTTCAAGAAATTGCTTAGGACCACACAGTGAGTTGGTGGCAGAAATAATTTTGCCTCTTGCCCAATGACTTGCAGTGTAGCAGGCTTTCTATGATTCTGTACTGTGCCCTTCTCCTACGGAAGCAGTACACAGCCATAGCCATATGCATACAGGTTGAGATTAGCCTGGTTCTAATCCTAACCAGGCCACTTACTAGCTGTGATACCTTTTTATTACCATGACCCTGTAAGCATGCAGTTTGTGCAAGGCTTATGTCTTCAGGCATATGTGCAAGAGATTCCCCTCCTTCCTTACCTCCTGGCTTTGACATTATTTTGTTTTTGATAGGGTTTGAGTCTGGAAGATGCTAACTCCTGTAAGGTCTTGGCAGGATCCTGGAAACTGAAGCTCTGCACATTCTTCCAGGAAGCTCACAGAGCCACACCAAAGTGTCTGGGGTGCTGCTTCAAGGGAGTTTGTCCCAAATACAAACAGGAGTTGGTGAGATGCAGGCTTTAGGAAGTTTGGGTAAGATTTTGGAATCCTGTCTAGAATCCTTGGGTGTGACTGGACGGGTCAATCTGTTGAGCTTTATTGTCTGTAGAGCAGACAATACAAACACTTCAGATAGTTTATGGGTTTAATATGATGCTTGGGACACCTCGTATACCCACGTCCCTCACAAGGAGTCTAGGCATGGAGCATGTGTAATTTGGTAATCAGAATGGGTCCCCCACTCCCACCCTAAAAGTATATAATCTTCAGTTCCTTTTCCTGAAAATGAATCATATAGTACATGCACAGGCACTGAGTCCAGGGGCTGGCTCATTTTAGAGCTTCCTGTCAGTGGAGTTACTTTCTCTCCATTCTCACTCCTCCCACATAACCTGTCCTCTACTCTACATGTCGGGACACCTCCACATCGGTTCGGTTTGCCCCCTTTCTTCCTATAATGTCAGTTTGCTGCACTGGTCACATTGCCACACTTATTCTGTGAGCTGTGGTGTGCAAGTCTTCACTGAGTCCCTTTTAACGATGAGTAAACCATGTCTAGCCAACGTTTCTTTCCAGAAGTGATGGGACTGCAAGCAAAGGCACATTCATAAATTACCTGAAGCTTCTAATGTAATGGAGAATCAAAGTCCTATTAATACTTAACTAAATGACCAACATGACAAGAATACAAAGGGCAATTGAGGAAAAGCTGTGGTCTTTTGCCAGTTGTTAAAATCAGAGGCCAATATTTCACCCAACGGTGACATGGAGATGCTTGTCTGAGCGCACAAATGTCTGAGAATTATGAAAGGGCTCCAGTCACCTTCACGATGGGCCTTTATCCCAAGCAGAGAGAGTACCAACTGACTTAGTCTTAAAAACAAGTAGTGCTTCATATTGAAATTGAAAAAGAGCATCAGAGTCCTTTGCCTGAACTCAGGATGAGTGAAAGCAGAACATGGGGTAGCTGTGTGCCTGTCTTTCTCTGACTCATAAGAAAAAATTATTTTAGACTTGGGAAGAAGACAGAGAAAGGGGCAGGGGCAGGAACTCTTCAGTATCCACCTAATGACCCACCTGCTCCATGCACTCTCTCTCCAATCCTTTGGCTTAGTGGATACTTGGCATGGAGGAAATCTCTATGCATGCTTGATGGAGGAGGTATCCCATGATTGTCTAAGCAAAGAGCTCCCCCTCAAAGACCTTTAAGGGCCCTGAGCAGTAAGCATACTGTGACATTACCCACCCATTCTGTTAAGTCAGAACTTAACAGAATGAGCTCAATTTGAGCCAAACATCTCCTTTCCTTCCCCTTCCTTTTCCCTTCCTTCTTTTTCCATAGGTTCTCGATCTGTAACCCAGGTTGGCCTTGAACTCATGATCCTCCTGCCAGCCTCCCAGGGGATGATCCTCATGGCAGGATCATGAGTTCAAAACTGGTACTACAGATATGAACCACGATACTTGGCTGTCAGGTTTCTGAACTCAGAACCTGAAGATCAGATTTGGGATCTTAGCCTGCTACATTGTTAGACACATTCTGAAGGCATTTAGAAAATTCTACATTTAACTATCTTTTTAAAAAATATAAATATGGTATTACCTAAGCTATAGAAGTGTTATCTGCAAACTTAATACGAACGTTAACAGGAAATTTATAAGCCTATTTAACTTCTATATCCTGGACTCTAGACTATAAATGTCCTTTTATCCTTGACTCATGTGGAGTCCTGGCTATACAGCCATCTGGCCTTTCCTTCATCGATATTTCTCTTTAAATGAGCAGGATTTTTAAGTTCCAAAAAATGTCATATTAAGTTTCTGGGGTGTTTAACAAAATGCAACATACCGAATAGCTTAAACAACAATCTTATTTTCACATGCTTCTGGAGACAGCAAGTCCAAGTTCCAAGTGTTGCTGGGTCTAGTTTCTTCTGTGGTCTCCCTTCTTGACTTGCAGATAGTGGCAACTTCTGGTGTTGTCACATGATCTTTCTGCAAGGACTCCTGGTAATTTTCCCTATGGCTGATTTCATCTTATAAGGAATCCAGTCAGATGGGATTCAGGCCTACCCCAAGGCTGCTTCAGTTTCATTTAATCACTACTTTGATGGCCCTATCTTCAAACACAGTCATGATCTGATCTGCGCTAATTGGCTGTTGAGGTGTGGGTTGTTGGGGTTTCAACTTATGAATTTTGAGAGGAAAACAAGCCCCAAAATACGCACCAGAGCAAAGTAAAACTTAATGAGTTTAGAAATACAACCAGTAGGCTCTGAGGAGATATTTTAAGTACCATGATATTTCACTGGGTGGTATCAGACCAAAGAGGATTAAACAAAGTTCCTGGGCCTAAATCTTTAGTGAAATTAGAGTTGGCATTCTTGTCTTTCACCCTGGATCCCAGCCATATTTGAATAAACAAGGTAGGGACTATTGCCAAATATAACTTACCCTGTGTTTGAACACAAAGTGTGAAATACTAATTTTTTGTAAACATCACAGGATTTCTTGTCTCTGCTGGGCTATCCTACAGTTACCGGTTAAATCTCAGCCTTCCCAAGTTCACACACTGAAGCCTAACCCTCCGAACCTGGGAATGGGATCCTATTTGGATAGGGCCTTTATAGAGATAATCAAGTTAAAATGAGGTCATAAAAGGGGCGGGGAGAACTTATAAAAAAAACATAGAGGACACTGGGAAGCAGACATGCATACAGAGAGAATGCTGTTTGAATTAGAAGATTGATTATGAGCCAAGGAGAGAGGCCCTGAGTAGATCTTATCTTTTCCGTACAGCTCTCGCAAGGAATAAACCCTGGCCATCTTTTGCATTTTTGCTTCAGCAGAACTGTGACACAATAAAAGTCTGCTGATTAAGCTACCCAGTTTATGGTACTTGGTGACGGTAGCCTTAGAAAACAAATATACCTACCTACGTGGGCTCTTTACCATTTACCACAGAGGCAATTATCAACTAGGTGCTTTGGTTCTTCAGGTAGCAAAGAGCAGAGCGCCTTAAGTGAAACCAACTCAACCTAGCTGAAGTGACAAGCAGGAATTTATTATAAGGGAAGATATCTTAGAAACTTACCTTAGACATCTTAAGGTACAGACAAAGGTGTAGACTTGGTCCTAGGAACAGAGACTCAGTTAATTCAGAGCTGTTCACAGCACTGCCCATGGACTGCATTTGAGCCTTCTCCAGGCCTTGTGGTAGGACAAACAGATGGATTTCCAACTTAACATAGCTGAGGTCCAATAATTACCTGGAGAATAACCAAAATGCTTATATTAAACCAGGGTATGAGCCCCTGGCCGAGCTGATTTTTTATTGTTATTCCTCTTGTCTGTGCCTCAGAACCATCATGTACAAGTGCTTTGTCACCAGGGGGATGGCAGAGGAAAAGGCCAACTTAGTTACCTATGGCTGCTGTAGCAAGTATCTTACACATTGGTTAGCTTAAAACTATAGGAGTTTTGTAGGGGCTGGGAAGGTGGCTCAGTGGTAGAGTGCTTGCCTTGCATGCATGAGGCCCTGGGTTCAATTCCTCAACACCACATAAGCAGAAAAAGCCAGAAGTGGCGCTGTGGCTCAAGTGATAGAGCGCTAGCTTTGAGCTGAAGAGCTAAGGGACAGTGCCCAGGCCCAGAGTTCAGGCCCCACGACTGACAAAAAAAAAAAAAAAAACCTATAGGAGTTTTGTAATCCTACCTACTCAGGAGGCTGAAATCTGAGGATCATGGTTCAAAGCCAGCCTGGGCGTGAAAGTCCACCCAATAAAACACCAGAAAACTGGCAGTAGTGCTCAAGTGGTAGAGGGCTAGCCTTGAGCTGAAGAGCTGAGGGACAGCGCCCAGGCTCACAGTTCAAGCCCCATGACTGACAAAAAACAGACAAAACAAAACAAAAACCTATAGGAGTTTATTCTCCCACAATTCCAGAAGCTAAAAATCCAAAATCAAAATGTCAGTATAGGGCCATGCTCTTTCCTGCCTCTTCTAGAGCCCTGTTCTCTGGCTATCATAGTTTGGATATGACATATTCCCCCAGAAAATTCATGTGTTAAAGAATTGATTGCCGCTGAGAGACCTTTGGGAAGTTATTGAATCCTGTCGGCTCTGACCTAACCAATCAATTCATTATTGAATGGACTGTTGGGAAGTTGTGGCAGGTGGAAGGTGGGACTTGATTGGAGGAAGTAGGTTGCTAGGAGTGTGTCTCCTCTTGCTTGTTTGTGTCCCCTCTAGCCAGTTCTGGTCACTGTACTCTCTCTGCTTCCTGTCCACCTTAAAAACAGCACTTCACTCCAACACATGCTCCGTACCATAATCCTCTGCCTCATCGTATATGGGCCTGGGCACAGTGGAGCCAAGGGATCGCAGACTGGAAACTTATGAAATTGTGAACCCACATAGTTCTTTCTTCCTTAAATGATTTTTTTTAAATTTAATTTTATTGTCAAGGAGTTGAAAGTTATATATGTAAGGTAATGAGTACATTTCTTGTCAAAGTGATTTTCTTGAGTATGTTGTCCCAGTGATAAACAGGGACGAACACACCAGCCATTCTCTTGGCTTGTAACTGCATCATGTTGACTGCTGCTTACATCTTTGCCTGGCATTCTTGCCCCCAAATTCATCTCTCTGTGTCTGTGTATCCACTGTTTCCTTTTCTAAAGATGCTGGTGTTTGATTAGGGCTCACTCTAATGCAATATGACCTCATCTTAGTCTCTTCCTGCTGCTATAACAAAATACCACAGACTGGGAAATTTATAACAAGAAAATTATGTTTCTTACAGTTCTGGCTCAAAGTTCAATTTCACGACATCAGTTCCACAAATACAGAATATGGCTTCTTTACATGGCAAACAGTAGAAGAGGGCCTAACCCATTGCCTCCAGGTCTGCTTTAAAAAAAATAAAGCATTATCACATGCATGAGGGCACAATCTTATCATATATGTATGTATATAAATGTGTGTATATATATATATATATCATAAGCATGTACTAAATATTACATGAGAATCTTGAGTTTTTGGTTGCTAAATCTGGAAATTCAAGTTCTGCTTCTAATTTAAAGATCTGGAAGTACTTTTGATAAAGTGTTACTACTAGGCCATATTGGCTACACCTGACATTTTTTTCAGTTACCTGTTGGATTCCTGGAGATATTTTGGTGTATCTTTGGTGAAACTGTAGTAGTTTTGAAGAAAACCAATCCTGCGAGACACCAGTATTTAAGATGAATAGTGGAAGGGATCCCATAAGGAAACTCAGGCCCAGCTGAGGCAGTAGAATAGCTGCTGTGTTCAAGGGGGGGTGGGGGGATTCCAATCACACATCCGCAGTAAGCTGGGGTTGCTCTCTCTGTCTCCCCTTTTCTTTACAGCCCTCTCCTTTTTCTGCTTTATCCTCTCTCTCCTCTCCCTCTCCTTTCCCCTTCCTCTTCTTCCTCCCTTCCCCTCCCCTTCCTTCCTTCTCTTCCCCACCCCCTTTTTCTTAATTTTTATTAGCATATATTAATAGTAAAAGAGGTTTCATGGTGCTAATTCCAAGGGCTCTGTATTTATAACTGCTTTAGAATCATCTGGTTGTATCACACTTGCCGGCGTTGCTGGCCAACACCCATTTCTCAAAGGATGGAAAAGTAGATTTTCCCTCTTGATGGAAGTATGAATGATATAACAATTTGAAGGCGCTGACAGAGAAGAGGTGGACTTTGGAGGTTGACCTGCTTGGCTTAAATATCACTGCCCCTTGGAACTCCTGTACAAATTCAGTCCCTACAATATTCTGCCATTGGTATTAAGAAGATAAACAGTTAATCTGACTAAAGGGTTTAGAGGTGGAACCTGGAGAAGGTCATTAGGGTGGAGCCTGGTGGCTTTTTAAGGAAGCCAGACCACACATAGATGTGCTGTCACCATGATGGGATGCAGTCAAGGGGAAACCTCGCAAGGGCTTCGCCATGCTACTTGGACTTCCAAACTCTTTTCTTTATAAAGAAACCTGCCTCGGGTGTCCTGTTACAATAATGGAAAGCAGAGTAATCTGTTGCCTTTAGTATCTGAAGGATGGTTTATTTGTCCCCATTTTGTAGACGAGAAAGCAGAAACAGTATAACTGACTTTCTGAAGCTCAAGAACTAGGAAATGAGAGTCCGAATTTAAGCTCACACAGTCTGTTTCAGCTTTGGGTCCTTCTACCTCTTGTAGTAAATACTTCACGGTGATAGCAACAAAAACAACAAAAATTACTCTTTTTCTCATTACACAAAGCCAGCCTCAAGAAGGGCCTCAGAAATAATTTTATTCTTGTGATAAAATATTCTACATGCTTATCAATGCTAATTTTCATCGAATCTGCTGTTCTTTAAAATTTTTTTTGTGCCATCCCTGGGGATTGAACTCAGGGCCTCAAGTGCTGTTCATGGGCTTCTCCACCCGCCCCCCCCCCCCCCCCCGAGACTAGTGCTTTAACACTTGAGCCACAGCTCTACTTCTGGCTTTTTGGTGGTTAATTGGGGATAACAGTCTCACAGACTTTCCTGCCTGGGCTGGTTTCAAATTGCATTCCTCAGCCTCCTGATTAGCTAGGATTACAGGTATGAGCCACAGGCACTTGGCTTGCTGTTCTTTCTTTTCTTTCCCTTTTTTTTGTTTTTTTAAGAACTAGGAAATAAGCTTGGTGTCAGTGGCTCACGCCTGTAATCCTACCTACTTAGGAGGCTGAGATCTGAGGATCGTGGTTCAAAGCCAGCCTGGGCAGGAAAGTCCATGAGACTCTTATCTCCAATAAAAAAAAAACCACCAGAAAACTAGAAATGGCACTGTGGCTCAAGTGGTAAAGCTCTAGCCTTGAGCTGAAGAGCTGAGGGACAGTGCCCAGGCCGAGAGTTCAAGCCCCACGACTGACCAAAAAAAAAAAAAAAGGAAAGAACTAGGAGATAATTGTTATCTTTATTTGGCCAAAGTCACAGCAACAAATGCTGCCTTCAAAGCCATCAGAGTTGGATGAAAAGAACTGCAGAGATTAAAACCCACATCCAAATGGGCAAAACAACCAGTGACACGTTGACAGCAAGTTGGTCATTTATTTTTTCCAGTGATCATTTGTCAGGGTGTCTTTCATACATTAACCTGGAACTGGGAAACGGGCTAACCTGTAAATCCGATCGTGTGAAATTAAAACCCTAAGTAAACACCTATCATGAAAGTAAGAAGATAAAGCTCAGAGTTTATGTATATATTTCACTTCCTGTAGTGTCACAGCAGAACTGGGAGGGAAGCAGGGCTCTCAGTGAATGTATGGAAGCTAAATACCTCTGGGATTCAAATGAAGGAGTTAATACAATCTGTTCAAGGTCCACAGCACTTGACACAGTGGGTACATTAGTGAACAAATAGTGAACAAGGGAGGGGGTTAACTAAAATGCAGATTCTCAGGCATGATCTCCACATATTCTGATTTGTTAGTTCTGGACTGGACTCTAGCAGTGATTTGATATAACTGCTCACTGGAGCACATTTTACAAATAGCTTACAGTAGACATTAAGCCTCTGACATTAAGCCATCCTTGGATAACAGTAGGGGAGAGAAAGATAAAACTATATCATGGCTGGAACTCAGGATATTCTACTTGCTAGGCTTGCTTGCTCATAGCTGGCAGTCTTAATACTTGAGCCTTGCCTCTGGCCTGGGTATTTGCTAGTTAATTGGAGCTGGATTCTTGATGACTTTTCTGCCTGGGGCTGGCTTGGAATGGAGATCTTCGCCTCCTGAATAGCTAGGATTATACTTGTGAACCACCATGGCTGACTACAAAATTCTTCAAGTAGTGTCATGTTTTCTATGATCAAAGATAACTCTTAGAGTGGAAATCTTTGTTTAGTAGCTACTACTGTGCTATTTTTCACTTTTGTTTTTATTAAAAATTAGTTCATGAAATTATTACCTTATATTTAAGAAAATCTATATTTTCAGTGACATGTTTGCATTTCTTTGCTTTTTCATATATTTGTGAGCTTTAAGAATTAGTAATGCATGGCCTGGGAATGTGGCTTAGTGGTAGAGTGCTTGCCTAGCATGCAAAAAGCCCTGGGTTCAATTTCTCAGCACCACATCAACAGAAAAAGCCAAAAGTGGCACTGTGGCTGAAGTGGTAGTGCTATCCTTGAGCAAAAGAAACTTGGGGACAGTGCCTGGGCCCTGAGTTCAAGCCCCAGGACTGGCAAAAAGAAGAATTAATAATGACAGCAGATAGGAGAGAGACTTGACAAATGGGATTACATCAAAATAAAACGTTTCTGCATAGCTAAGGACATAGCTACTAAACTAGAAAGACAGCCAACAGGCTGGGAGAAGATCTTTACCAGCAATATATCCAACAAAGGCCCAATATCCAAAATATACAAGCAGCTCAAGAACTAACCCCTCTTAAAGCCACTAAAACAATCAATAAATGGGCAAGGGAGCTAAGACTGTTCAAAAGAAGTAGTAAGAATGCGAGAAAAACACATGAGGAAATGCTCATCATCCCTGGCCATAAAGGAACTGCAAAGCAAAACCACTCTGAGATTCCATCTTACCCCAGTTAGATCGGCCAACATCATGAATTCAAACAACAAATGTTGGCAGGGACGTGGGGGAAAAGGAACCCTATTGCAATGCTGTTGGGAATGTAAACCATAACACAACCACTCTGGAAAGCAGTTTGGAGATTCCTCAAAAAACCAAACATATATCTTTCTACAACTCAGCTATATTATTCCTGGGCAGCTTTCTAGAACATCCCAAGCCAGGTATCATAAAGACACTTGTACATCCATATTTATTGCTGCACTATTCACAATAGCCAAGTTATGGAAACAGTCCAGATGCCCCCAAATAGATGAGTGGATCCAAAGAATGTGGTATCTATACACAGTGGAATTTTACATAGCCAACAGAAAGAGTATTATGTCATTTGCAGGGAAAAGGAGGGAGCTAGAACAAATCATGTTAAGTGAGGTAAGCCAAGCTCAGTGCATGTTTTCTCTCATCTGCCAGAAGCTAGACATAAAATCCACTGAGACATCATAAATTATATGGACTCTAGGCATTCACACACAGTAAGACCCAAGGGAGATACTCTTACTGGAGGAACACAAAAGCACAATGCCTATGTACATCTGATCATATAAAATAATAGTTATCAAATGAGCTCCAGGAAATGGACACAACAGTTCTTGTGTTGTTTTTGTTTTCTTTTCTTTTTGTCTGGTTTGTTCATTTTATCTGTCTTTGGGAGTGTAAGGGAGGCATAGCAAAAGGCATATAACTGGGTCGCAGCAGGAGGGGCATACTGGGAGAGAGCGAGGCAAGGGGTTACAGTGTTCAAAAAGAAACATATCTGATGTATATAACTGTAGCCCCTTTGTATATCACCTTTATAATAACAATGAAAAATTTAAAAAGAATTAGTAATGATCCAGTAATACCACGCTTTTTTTTTCTTTTTTTTTTTTTTTCCAGTCATGGGGCCTGAACTCTGGGCCTGGGTGCTGTCCCTCAGCTCTTCAGCTCAAGGCTAGTGCTCTCTACCACTTGAGCCACAGCACCACTTCTAGCTTTTTCTGCTTATGTAGTGCTCAGGAATCAAACCCAGGGCATGCAAGGCAAGCACTCTACCACTGAGCCACCTTTCCACCCTCCCCCCCCCCCCCCCGCCCCGCAATACCACTCTTGGTCAGATACCCTGAATATTACAAGTCAGGATAGGAGAGTAAGATAAATAAATCAGGCCCAGAGAGACAAAAGGTGCATGTTTTCTCTCATATGTGGAAGTTAGATCTAAAATACAAATACACATAACATATACAGGGTTTTATGCATATATACACAGCCAAACTGACTAAAGGATGGTATATTTAGGAGAGGAGTCCAGTGGTGGAATTCCTCTGAACAACTGTTTAACAACATGAATACCAGGAAGCAGAAACATGTTCAGGAAGGGGAGGACCATGGGGGGGGGTACACAAATGGAGAGAGGACGAGTGCGCAAATGCAGTCACTATATTCAATGTATGTCATGTAAAAATTGAGCTTCAGGGTGGGGATGGGAGGAGGGAAATGGGGAAAAACAATGGCAGTGGTGACATTGGTCAAGTTGCATTGCACTCATACCTGACTTGCGCAATTCACACCTCTTTGTACAGCTACTTAATTAAAAAAAGAATTAGTAATGACCTGAGCTTTTAAAAAATATATTTTTATTCTCTTTAAGTAGTTGTACAAAGGATTTGCCATTCGACAAAGCAGTTTATGAACACAATGCATCTTGATAGATGTCACCCCTTTCATCATTACCCTCATCCATATTCCTAGAAAGGCTAACTCATAGTCCACCGAAATAAACACTAGGAAACGTGTGCTTGACAAGTAGGGAGCTGGGGTCAAGGAGAGAAGTGTAGGGCCAAGGGGATGGGGGTAGACTTCTAAGTGATCCAAATCAACTGATTTATTTGGCGTCAATGACATCACTAGGAAGCAAGTCTGAAGTAGTACACCTTAAGTTAAATATAAGGTTTTTTTTTCCCCCAGGAGAACATCAGATTAAATCCTGGTTCATGTTATTATTATTATTATTATTATTATTATTATTATTATTATTATTATTATTGTCGGTTGTGGGGCTTGAACTCAGGGCCTAGACAGTGTCCCTGAGTTTTTTCACTCAAGGCTAGTGCTCTACTACTTTGAGCCACAGTGCCACTACCAGTTTTTGGAAATAAGAATCTCATGGACTTTTCTGC